TATTTTTATATATATATCCCAGCCCACTGACTCAAATGTTAATCTCTTTTGGCAGCACCTCACAGACACATCCAGGATCAATACTTTGCATCTTTCAATCCGTTCGAGTTGACACAGTATTAGCCATCACAAGTCCACTGTCTGTCGACTTAAACCCATACACGTCTCCTGAAATCACACATAACTTCAAATAAAGACAATAATAAGGTCATAATTAGACCTAACATAATACAACTCTCCTTCATACAACCAGAAATGCAACAGTTCCCAACCCAAATGCTATTACATAAACTTAAATCCTGATATGAAGTCAATAAATCTTACGTCACATGATAAAGGAAAAAGAAAAAAAATGAAGGTATTTTCTTAGTACAAATGTATACGTTCACAAACATGTTTCTAACAAAATGAGAAGGAAATACTCATGACAATTACAGTCCCCGTTTCTGCAACTGGTCACATGGTCTTAGCTGGTATTGATGACTACCTTCTTCTGCCACCCGCTCTGTATTCCCTTTGCCTTTAGCAAGCACCTTGGCACGTCATGGTTTTTTCCCCCGGTGGAGTTATCCAACCATCAGCTCTTGACTTCTGCGCACTCGCACAGAAGCTGCCAAGGCTTTAAGTCACAGCCCAGCCTCTACGTTAGGCCCTTTCAGCCACTGTTAGAGCAGCTAGGATGCACCAAGACCTTAGGCTGCACACAGCACAGGGACCCTGGGCCCAGCCCATAAAACCACGTTTTCCCCCTAAGCCTCCTGAGATGGGAGGACTGCTGTGAAGACCTCTGATACGCCCTGGAGACATTTTCCCCATTGGCTTGGGGATTAACATTCAGCTCCTTGTTATTTATGCAAATTTCTGCAGCCAGCTTGAATTTCTCCTCAGAAAACGGATTTTCCTTTTCTATCACATTGTCAGGCTGCAAATTTTCTGAACTTTTATGCTCTGCTTCCCTTATAAAACTGAATGCCTTTAACAGCACACAAGTCACCTCTTGAATGCTTCGCTGCTTAGAAATTTATTCCACCAGGTACCCTAATTCATCTCTCTCAAGTTCAAAGTTCCACAAATCTCTAGTGCAGGGACAAAATTCCTCCAGTCTTTTTGCTGAAACATAACAAGAGTCACCCTTGCTCCAATTCCCAACAAGTTCCTCCTCTCCATCTGAGACCATCTCATCTTGGATTTCATTGTCCATATCACTATCAGCCTTTTGGTCAAAGCTAGTCAACAAATCTCTAGGAAGTTCCAAACTTTCCCATGTTTTCCTGTCTTCTTCTGACCCCTCCAAACTGTTCCAACCTATGCCTGTTACCCATTTCCAAAGTTGTTTCCACATTACTGGGTATCTTTTCAGCAGTGCCCCCACTCTACTGGTACCAATTTACTGTATTAGGACATTTTCATGCTGCTGATAAAGACATACCCGAGACTGGGCAATTTACAAAAGAAAGAGGTTTAATGAACTTACACTTCCACATGATTGGGGAGTCCTCATAATCATGGTGGAAGGCAAGGAGGAGCAAGTTACATCTTACATGGATGGCAGCAGACAGAGAGCTTGTGCAGGGAAACTCCCCTTTTTAAAACCATCAGATTTTGTGAGACTCATTCACTATCAGAAGAAGAGCAAAGGAAAGACCTGCTTCCATGATTCAATATCTCCCACTGGGTCCCTTCCACAACTCTTGGTAATTATGGGAGCCACAAGATGAGATTTGAGTGAGAACACAGAGCCAAATTATATCATTGCCTTTTGGAATGGACTTTACTGATGATTTCCTCAATTACTGAAAAGTTAGATTAATTAAAGAGAAACAACAATATTTACTTAGTGATAAGTAAATTAAACAGATAATCCCTGTAACAACTCTGTGAAGTAGTTTCCTTTAATATCTTCATTTTGCAGCTGAGCACAGTGGCTCACACTTGTAGTCCCAGCACTTTGGGAGGCTGAGGCGGGCAGATCACGAAGTCAGGAGTTCGAGACCAGTCTGGCCAGTGAAACCCAGTCTCTACTAAAAATATCAAAATTAGCTGGGCATGGTGGCAGGTGCCTGTAATCCCAGCTACTTGGGAGGCTGAGGCAGGAGGATCCCTTGAACTCAGGAGGCGGAGGTTGCAGTGAGCCGAGATCGAGCCACTGCACTCCAGCCTGGGTGACAGAGCTAGACTCGAGTTCAAAAAAACAAAACAAAACAAAACTTCATTTTACATACAGATGACCACCCTGTGATTTAAAGAGGTCAAGAAAATTATCCAAAATATACAGCTTCTAAGTAGCATTGCTGAAACTCAACCTCCATTTTTATATTGCTAACAGCTTCCCAAATAATACTATCTGCATATTACTATTTGTGAGAGTTACTTGAGATGAATTCATGTAATACTCATGATAGATCAAGGACTTTCATTAAATATTGGTTCCTATTTATTTGTATTTGTATAGTACTTTATTTTTCCCAAATCTGTTTAGATTTTCTTATTTCACTTGATCTTCCTTGGACAGATAAACAGAAATATAAGATTAAATGATATCAACAAATCACCAGTGGAAATCGTCCTAGGATGTGGGCCTTCTCTCTTCATATTTGGTATCTTTTTTCCTTCAAACCTTCAATCCCTCAAGATGCCATAAGAAGAGACTTTGAATTTTGGCTTTTCTTGTGTCCTCCCTCCATTTGGGTCTCTGAGGAAAGGCATATGAAAATAGGGCATATGCTTATTTTCATAAAAGGATGTTACAGAACCTGATAGCGCACATTTAAAATGACTACTTTGCGGTCTTTGGAATCATTGTGGTTGAAGGGCCACTCACAACAGGACTTTTCCTCTCCTTGCAATGATAAGCCTTAATGGAATCTGGCCTGCAGAGTGTCTGGGCTGTGTGTGAGCTTGGTGTCAGATCAAGTCCAAGCAAGTTCCCCGAAGCTCAGGCTTTACAACATCATGTAACTCAGAAACATTCCATCAAGCCACCACCCACCTTTTCCAGTGGGAATTCACTAAAATGATTCTCTTGGAAGCAGTGTGGAAGTAGGGGGAAGGGTGTTAAATTTGTGCTTTTGGAGCGGATTGTAGATGGGTGAGTGGGTGGAGACAAGAGGGGGAGAATTAAAAGCAAAGATGGAAAAAATAACCACACTGCCACCAAAATATTCTGCTCAAGGATGAGGGAGTACACCCTACAGCTGTTAGCACTGTTCAGCATATTTTGCATATTTACATATACCAAGTATTTCCAAACAGCCTTGTGTTTGTTTTAAAATCCCACACGGAGATGTCTGGTAAAGCTGTCACTGCGGAAACTTCATGGTGAAGTTTGCAAGACTATTTTCAAAATTCTTTATATGCATCATAAACTGAGCAGAAGAGCTATTGTCATTAACCACATTATAGAGAAATCTGAACTAATCTGCTTACCCATCAGACAACACTCAGAACAAAGCATCCATGTTCTAAGACAAAGAAAGCACCTCGTTGATTGAAGCCAATTTTTTTTATTGTTGGTGTAATTTGTTTAATACAAAATGGCACACAGCATGATATCATGTCACCCAATTATCCTTGATTAGTCTTGAGGTTATCGAAGTATGATTTTTCTTTATTTCTGATGACTCTAACCTTTGACTTAAAGATATTTTCCCAGACTTACTGAGTTATCATTGACAAATAAAAGTTGTATATATTTAAGGTATACCATATGATGGTTTGACATGGGTAAACATTGTGTAAACACAATCAAATTAATTAATACAGCCATCACCAGACGTATTTTTTGTAGGAAAAATAACATTGGACAGATTTCTCATGTAGCCATTTTCTTTTGGAAACATAAAACACCACAAAACCATACAGAGCTCATTTGAAAAAGATTCGTGAGTTTTCAACAGAAAGAATTGGGGAGTTTAAAGCTATATTTTCCTTTTAGCAAGATCCACAAGAAAGGATAGAGTGTCATGCTTAAAGGGGAACAGATTTTGTATTTTTTGGCAAGATATTAAATCCTCTGTTGCTATATTTGGCTCTCTGCAAATAGTCTCTTGTACAAGTGCAAAGCAAAGATCAATGCTGGTGTTCTTCATTCAGTCACAGCCAAACTTGGTATGGAAAGTAAAACAGTTGTGTTTGAGTGTTGTTTCGAACAAAGTCTTGCAGTTCATTTATTGATCAGCAGCATTCCAGAGTGTGGATACCCTCTTTACACATTAAATCTATCAAAACATGTTTGCTTTTCCATAAGTTTTTCCACTGCTTAACTGATAGCAGATGGAGTGATTCAATCTGGACAAAAGTGTTAAAGCTTTACCACGTCAATGTGGTCATATTTAGCTATTTAGTCAAATGTGTATAAGCAGGTCAAATAAGATGCTTGGAGACTTAGGGCATCACAAGATGGGCCTATGTTCCCAAAAAAGGAAGCAAAACAATGAAATCGTACTTGGTTGTCCCCAGAGAAAACACACTTCAGCTAGGAAGAATCTGCACTAGATGACCTGCTCTCCGCCCCCCAGACTGCTCATCTTACATAAGTAATACATAACCCTTTGGATTCTGAAGTACTATAGAAACTACATGAAACATTTGAAATAGTGACAGAAATTTTCTTTATATGCAATTATTTGATGAATGAAGACAAACCCCCACACAAATGCCAACGCAAGCATTATGACTTGCTACTCCCAGTGAAATAGTCCTTCTTGATTACAAGAGTGATGGAAAATGACGGAAGTCCAATACTAATTGTTGTAGGTAGAATAATGGCTCCAAGTCCTAATCCCCAGAACCACTGAATATGTTATTTTACATGGAAAAAGGGACTTTAAAGATGTAATTAAGAACCTTGAGCCGGGCACGGTGGCATTCGCCTGTAATCCCAGCACTTTGGGAGGCCAGGGCGGGTAGGTCAGGAAGTCAGGAGTTGGAGACCATCGTGGCCAACATGGTGAAACCCCGTCTCTACTAAAATACAAAATACGAGCCGTGTGTGGTAGCACGCGTCTGTAGTCCCAGCTACTTGGGAGGCTGAGGCAGGGGGATCCTTTGAACCCAGGAGGCGGGGGTTGGAGGGAGCCGATCGCGCCACAGAACTCCAGCCTGACGACAGAGCAAGACGCCATCAAAACAAAATAAAACAAAACCTTGAGATGATGAGATTATTCTGGATTATACAGATGCAGCTATTGTAATCACATGAGTCCTTGCACATGTAAGGGAGAGGAAGAAGAGAAAGTCAGTGATGCCATGTGAGAAGGCCTTGACCAGGTTGCTGGATTTGAAGATGGAAGGAAGCTAAGCAAAGGACTCTAGCAGCAGGAAACAGCAAGATTCTCTCTAGGAAGCATCCAGAAGAAATGCCGCCTACATTGTGTAGCCCACCAAGACTAAGATCTTCGCCGAATGTCTGACCCACAAGAGCTGTAAGATAGTAAATGTGTGTTCTTTTAGGCCATTATCGTCGTAGCAATGTAGTGATATTTTACAGCAGTTCTAAAAAGCTCATTTTGACACCACATTCTAAATGTGGTAGACAGTTAAAAAGCCTGTGCCAAATTATTTCATCTGTAATGCTGGAAAGTCTATTATTTAAATGCTGATTTTCGGACTTTAGTACTTTCACATTAAAGATATGTGTAATAAGAAAATTGAGGGCCCACGTAGAGAAACTCTAGCTTTCTTCAGAATACACGGTCTTGGAATTCTCTTTTCAATGTTAATGCATCGTGGAAAAGGTTTTGTTTGTTTTTTCATATTACTTATGGCAGGGTCCCTGTCAGCAAATGTAAAAACAATAAAATACACCTTGGTCAACCAATATCCTTAGAAGCATTGCATTATAAAATTCTCAAGACTCTTGGTGTTATATAATTAATATACCCCATTTCATTTGCTTTTCCATTATAAACATGTGTTTTATAATCTATTCCTTGCTGTAACATATAGACTTCTTGGCTCTAGAAATTAACTTCTTAATTAAAAACACCTAAGATGTTGTAATTTCCAAAATATTTATAAGATGCTTAACTGAATAAGAAGGAAACAAAAAGAGCTTTAAATTCTCAAGAAATGCAGACCAAATCCAAATGCTACATTCAAATATAAACATTCAATTCACATTAAATTATTTATTGAACAAGTTGAAGATAATGACATCTGTTTTTATTACAAAGTCTTCCATCATCTGGTATCATTGACACATATTATGAGACCTGCATTTGAAAAGTGAACAGAAATAAGAAACTGTTTTCCCAGCCCCACAAAAACAGAAAAAATATATAATTTCATAATTATCTTATAAAGCCAAAAATTTTATGAGTTATACATTTTTTATTAATTAAGAACGACAGCATAACTAAGGTTAATTTTTATTTCTGGAAACACAAAATTAAGGTAGCATAACTGCTTGTAGAACTAATAAGTCTGAAATTTCATGGCATTTCAATGCACTAAAATAATATTTCTATTAGTTTTCAGTTTAATCAAGTGACAGATATAAAATTCACTACACTGTATTTTTGTTCACAAAAGCATTTCACCTTACCTAGATTTATATAATAAAAACAAGTTGTATCCATATCTTCCCTTTACATATATGTACTTTAAAATGATACAAAGAATTCACATGAAAACTTTTCCCTATGTTTTATCTCCTGAAAAAAATGTACGGAATAGTATTTTTAAATCAGATATAATATCCAATATTGTACATATCCTAAGAAATTAAATCAATTGTGTAAATAATCATTATTAACTTTTGCTCTAGCCACAGCATAGAAAGAAATGTACATCTCTATTAATATAAAGAGATATCAATAGGAAAGTTCACATCTTATGTATATACCAAAAAACTAAAGTATTTGCATTTTAAAAGCATTATTCTTATGCCAAATTTAGTAGTCTAGAAATTGTTTTTTTTAAAAAAAACAAATTGATGATTACTTATCCTTTTCTAAAAGGTGTCTGTTTGCTTATACAATGGAATTGGTAAAAGTACACTTAATTATAATAGAATTTATTGGAACGTAAAAAGGAGATTCAGAAAAACTTACTGGATCAAATTAAATTGACTACGACTTCAAGAGAATACTACTTTGATCAATACTTTAAAACTATAAAAGTATTTTTAAACAAAAAAGCACAATAGACAATAAAAGAAATACAAAAATTGAGATAATTTAACAATAATGACGATTTCTATAGGTTGGAAAAGTGTACATGGTGCAATTCCCAGAGAGCACTACAAGATTAAAAAGAAAAAAAAAATCCTGCTAAAAAATTCTAAATGTCTGTGCTGTGACCAATCTCCATGATCAAGTTACCAAGGAAAGTAACATTTTGAAGTTATCGAGACTGAGGTTTCCTTATAGGCTCCACTCATGCCCCCACTTGCCAGAACCATTCACTTTTTTATAAGTTCTATGTTTGTTTTCAACATCCATTTTTGAATGGATGTGGAAAGGCTAAAACTTTTGCCCAATTTTTCTAAAATGATTTTAATAATACTTTTAATGTTTTAACAATAGATTTAAAGGGCACTTTGGCCTTTAAATATTTTCAGAGAATAAACTGTAATTTCTCTCTCAAACAAGCCTTTCTTATTCTGAAAGATGTCTTTTATCTTACAGGAAAGAAAAAAAAATGAGTTTCTAGGAGCCTCTCCATTAAACTGGCAGGCTGATTTCATTTCTGATCCCGTACAGTTTCTGCTGTCTTTCCCTTGGCTGCAAAGGTGATCAATCAGGAATTCGAACGCCATCAATACCCCTTTGTAACTGCAATGGCTCAAGTGAACTCCTTCCATCTTCAATAACTGACACAGTGTCAACATCTGCTTCCAATAAGGTGGTTTCTTTTTTTTCCTTGAGTAGAGTAAATCTGCTGACTGAGATCGTAAATGGTTGTGTTTTTTCCCCCTTTTCATGCGGAAGATTTTTTCCACCATATTTTGCAACTTTCCCTCAAGTCAAGTAAAAATAAAAAAAATCGGAGAACTTCAAAAGAAATGTTCTTATTCTAGGTGCCAAGGAAGTTCGATATATAACCAAAAATATAAACCATGGTGAATGAATGACACTGTTCTCATAATTTTGGACACAGTACTTTAAATAAAATTTTGGAACATGGAAGAAAACTGAGTTGGACCTACACGCCACTATAAGGTTAATTTATTTTTCCTTCAGAAATGATACACTAAAAAGTCAGCTAATTAGGAAATGTACATTTATCTCCTATACCAGGTAGGAGGGACAGTTAGTAGGAGACAAAGATTCTCTTTGTAGTAATTTCTTACAGAAAAACAATCATGTATCTATTTGATTGCTGCAGAAACGAATACGGACGTGAAGAGAAGAGACCTTTGGGAGCTCAATTTAAGGAACTACTTACTCAACTGATAGGCATCTCTAGTAGCTGTTATTTATTGAACATCTAATATGAGCCAGATGATTGATCGTGTGTGTGTGTGTGTGTGTGTGTGTGTCTGTGTGTGCGTGTATGTGATTTACAACTTCCACAGCCTGCCTGTTAGGTATTATCCCATTTTACTCATGAGATAAATAAATAAAACCCCAAACCACACATAAAATTGTGGCTAAACTAGAATTTAGAGAATGGCCTAACAGCCAAACTCCTTTCCATTAATTCATTCTGCTTTCTATTTATCCATCAGTCAAAACTCTAACATATGTACTTTCCTTTTTCCACCACTTAATGCCACTGCCCCCACCGGCTTAATTCAGCAAACACTATTTAAAGAAGGGACACTCAGTAAGGGATAGAATACAGGTCTTTGAAATACAGTTTCTGATTGCCACTTTAAATTATAAATACAACATTAAACCAGATAGCAAACTCAAAAGCCAGATAGTGTGACATATTCTGCAAATCTTAGAATAGGAATGGGCAAATACTTTTTGCAAAATGAATAACAAACTTCTCAAAGACAACTTTCATGTCAGTGCCTAGAATTTGTTTTTTTTTTTTTAAAGTCTTATAAAGTTAAAGAAATAAATCCCTCAATTATTTGCAATTCATTCGTTCTCATTTTGCAAATTTTAGAGCAATTTTGGCCATTTTTGCTTAACAAAATAATACAAATACTCTTAAGAAGAAAGAGAAAAGAGAGCAAATAGAGGGGAAAGTTAAGAGAGGGTGCTTAACTTTCTTAAGAAGACACATTGATTTCTCAAAAGTTCAGAGTCTCTTTCAAATTAACAATGAGAGACAAAATAATCTGTTAGGATCCTGATTTGTCAACGTTATGTTGTTTCTTAGCTCCCGATGGTTTATTGGTGGAAGCACATATTCTATTTAAAATAAATGAGATGATTTTCTAGGCTCTAGTTCACAGATATTTAGAAAGCTTGAATAAATCTGATTTGTAAAATCAGACAAAAGTCACCTTTGTCTAAAGGTGGAGTGGTTTTAATAAAATCGTGGAGGCAGATGGTAGCCCTCATTAAAGCAGTTCAGCAGCCTCTAAGTCCAACAGCATCATTTTGATGTGAAAAAAGAAGAGCCAGAGAATGACAGAATTTTAAACTTGGAATGAATTCAGAATATTATGCTAAATTACAACCCATCCTCTTTTAGGACTTCTGGTGGTAACAGCAATATGGTCCTAGAAGACAATTGTAGAGACATGCTCATTCTCTATTTATATTTTTGATCCACTCTCTGGGTGGCAGTGTATCCCAAACACCTAGGGCCTGTTTTCTTTTTCCTTTTTCTTTTTCAGACAAGATCTTGCTCTGTTGCCCAAGTTGGAGTATAGTGGTGCAATCACAGCTCACTGCAAGCTGCAAACTCAAACTCCCAGGCTCAAATGGTCCTCCTGACTCAGCCTCCAGAGTAGCTGGGAGAACAGTTGTGCACCACAATGCCCAGGTAGTTTTTCAGAAATTTTTTGTAGGGATAGGGTCTCCCCATGTTGCCCAGGCCGATCTTGAACTCTCGGGCTTAAGCAATCCTCCTGAACCTCTGCCTCCCATAATGCTAGGATTACAGGCATGAGCTGCCGTGCCCAGCCTGGGTCCTGTTTTCAAAGAGAGAGCTCACTTACAAATCTTTCCTCTGTACAGCAGAAACCAGGTTCCCAACGTTTCTCTGGTCCTCAGAGCCGATAAATTTTTTATCTGACAGTTATCAGGAGAGACACAGAGCAAAGTCTAAATTCAGGGAGAAGACATCTAAGTAATGCCCTTCAATTAAATTTGGTGGAAAATAAGAAATGGAGCAAGGAGTAACTACTTTCCTTCTCCGCTTCATTGGGAAAATCCAACTGAATGATCTGAATGAGTTTGAGTATAACATTACTTTCAAATAAATTACAAAGGAAGTTAATGTATTCCAAAGGTGGATGCGGATGAGGCAAATAACCCTGTGAGTCATCACATGGGAACTGTTGAACACTTGGCTTTGAAAATTCAGAAGGACACAAGGCAAAACCAGATTTATAAATTCACACAATTTTGTGCTCCATGCATTTGGGCAAATTATAAACAAAACAATCATATCAAATCAAATTACGGACCAAAGTACAGAAAATTTAACCGGGCTACTCCCAGGAAATATAGGTTCATATTATTAGTGAGTGGAAGGTATCTTAAATTTGGACCCCACATTGGTAAAAATGTGCATATTGTGTAAAAGAGAGTCTAGGTAAGAAACAGCAAAGTGCGGAGTGATGACAGTACAAGAGAATATATAGATCTGAAACTCAAAAGATGGATAGTATATAAATGAATACATGAATTACAGCCAAGGAAAATATTTGAAAATTATCTTTGATAACTCTGCCTATTTGAACATGCCATGTTCATGTCTAAAAAGCTCACATATAACATATGAATAATTAAAGACAGAAAGTGGCATTTCACTGATCATACTATTTTATGTGGTGGAGAGAAAAATGGGAGAAATTTGAAAAAACCCTCTTCATAAAACTAAAAAACTTCCATATTACACTAACTTTTTTACATGACATCTCTGGAAGCAGTTGATGGAAGAAATGAACTTTGCCTTTGAAGTCTTAACAGTATCAATAACTGCTACGTTCATAATCTTAATCTTCTCCTAGCAGTCTTAATGATAATTTCAAGTTTATTTAGATCCTGATTCATATCAAGTTAAATTCTCAAATTTTTAATTTTTAGCCCAATTTAGATTGTATATGACCTCTGGTTTTATTTTTAAATTGTGGCATAAATTTAAATCCTAATATACACTTTATTTTGCCCTAAATTTCTTTCTAAAAATAATTAAATCAAGTAAAGCCAGATTTAAACAAACAAACAAAAAGATTTGTTAAGTTCCGTGTTTAAACTATTACATATAGAATTTTGTGTTTGTTTGTTTTAGTTTACAGTGATAGGTGGCATTATAAGAAAGAGCTAGGGCTCTGTAATTTCTCTAGTGCCTTCCCAGATATTGTTCCTTCAAATGCTCTTCAGGAAAAACAAACCCCACTTAAAATATGACTTTTTAAATTGCCATGAATGAACAATTAGAAACAAGTAAAATAAGTCACTGGCGCTCACAGGTAGCATGGTTAAATGCAGTTTTTTTCTTGTAGTTGTATATAAACTCTGGTTCCATTTATCAAATTTGGATGGGCTAGAAAGATAATTAGTCTCCTGTAGGCAAATTCTTCATCTAATTGAAAGTTTATGCCAACTTTCTTATTAGTCAACCTCCAAGTTATTCTTTGGGAGAAATCAAAGCAATGAAATATCATTTCTTTAGTGTGGTCATTTAAAAAAAACTTTTCAAGCTATACATATAATTTAAAACTAATTGAGCTAGTGTGGAATTAAATCTTTACTGCGATTCAATGTAAAAACAATACTGCATTGGTTTGTCTATGGTATAGCTACTTTTGTAAAAAGGAAAAACCATAAAACATTTGAGGTAACTTAGAAAGCACAGACAGAGCATATAATAGACATCTGAGAGATAAGCATTTTAAACATTTGTGCCAGTGCTTCTCTGAGAGCAAGTTCTTTAAACAGAACTCAACAATTTTTACAATATTAAAAAAAATACATCCCTCAAAAATAGCCCGTCAATGCTAAACCAACTTTTCTGTATTTCTACAAAAATAGATGCACATAGAGCTACAAACTTGTATTCTTGAAAGAATGAGCATTTTAATGTGTGGTTCATCCTTTCCTGACAAGGTGGTTGGCGAAAAAAAAAAAAAAATCAAAATGAAACAAAAACTTAGCTATATACTGGCAAAAGCAAGAAAACAAAAGGAGAGAGTTGCACAGTTGGCAAAGGCTCAGATGAGGAAAAAAACAAATAAAAATGCTTTTCTTCAATGTCTAGGACCCACTTTGCTTTCTCAAGAAAGACCGACACCCAGTCAACTGCGTGACACTTTGTCTTCTCCTTCCATGCCTTTCGTGTCCTATTGCTGAATCGAAAATCCCGACGGTATCTTTTCCCAGTGGGCCCTTGGATTTATGCTGCAACTTAACTCACTAAGATTGTGCGTTTCAGTACCATGGTGATTCCTTACTCTTGTCTTGATGCTGTAGACCTGGAACAAATGACAATGAGAAACAATAAAGAACATTAATACACATAGTACCAAAAATTAGCGTAATCTGCAATACATCGGATGTCGAAACCAAAAAGATAATCCAGGCAACTGTGAGGTCTGACTTGAAGACAACATGATCTCTAAGCAAATTCTGTACCAGAGTTCATAATTTTCAAAAAGCCGACGAACACAGTATGTAACAAAAACACAAGACTAGAACAGTGCTATTTATACAATACAAATTGGTTGCTATTTTTTTTTTTTTTATTTTCTTGGAGTATGAGTGGATAGCAAATAGAAAAAAATGAAACATTTGTAATTTCAAAAGGAGGTGATATTGGGAGAAAAAAGATGTAAATAATCTTTGGAGCATTTATGCAGTGCTTCAATTAATACTT